TGTAAAATCTTTGGAATTTACGAGTAAAATCAAGGAAATGATCTCTGACAGCTGTTTCAGAAAGTGGTTGATAGGTTTCTTGATCAAAAGCAAGAATACCACATGCTAAAATCACGAGGAATGTCAAGGTGTAAAGTAATTTCATTTTTTTTGTGATGTTATTGGAAATTTGACTTTTGATTGATGAGAAGCGAAATGGTTTTCAAATTGGTGAACTGGAAGATAACAAATTTTTTGCATTTTGTAATCTCACTACAATTTTCTTTTTGAAATTTTTAATTTTTCAAAATACTTGAAGAGTTTCGAATAAAAAATTAAATTTCGTTAATATGAACTGTACAGCACGTTTACTTCAAATTTGACGCGTTTTTTGAAAGAAAATAAATTGTTTAGAAAAAATTTTGTTGTTCTTCTGCTGTCAAATCCAAAATAAGCATTTCAATTGAACAACACCTAACCACTCGTTCTTACTCATTTCTACATATTTTTGAGAATGCTGCCACCCCAAGGGGTATGTCAATGCGAGGATTCATAATTTGAAGTCAGATTTCAAAACTACCTTAATTCCATCGAGAAATTAGCATTTTGTTGAATAAAATATTATCGTTACAGATTCTTTTCAAATGAAGTTGAGTTTACTTGCCAAATCAAAATTGAAAGATGAAATACTTTAAATTTTAAAAAAAACAATTTTAATTTCCCCAAATCTTGTCAAACTTGAAGTAAACGTGCTGTATGAAGAATCCTTTCGAAACAATTTTAGAATAGGCAAAATTCAATATTGTAATCAATTTTATCTGAACTTTTAAGTACGCAAATATGTGCCTCATTTGGCGTTTTACGACTGTCAATTATCAAAGCGAGTTTGACAGCAAATTTCCTAAAAAAAATACCGTTTCTGTGTGGCTGTCTGTGTTCTTCTTGCAAGACAAACAATTCCACGTTAATTTCATCACAAAGTTCATCATCATTCGAAAAATTAATTATTGGAAAGATTTCGAATAACAATAAGAAATGCTAAACGACGAACATTCGACAGTTTCTACGCCTAGAGGAAGTTCATCCAAACAATCATCTTCCGATAGAATAGAAACTCTCTTATCCGAATACAAGTTTCGTATAGAAGCAATATTCGATTATTCTCCAGCAAGAGATACCTTTCGTAAATATTTAAAGAAAGTTTGTTTAAATGAAGAACCTTTCATGTTCTACGAAATGGTCGAAAACTATCAAAAAACAAGATTAGACAAGAATCGTTTAGAATTGGCAGCTGACATTATCAATCAATTTATTGTTGTCAACTCAAAACATGAATTAAACATGTCAATGGCTATCAGAAATGAAATTCTAAAACAACATGCTCAAATCTTGGAAAAGAATCAAAACCTGCCAAATTTGGAATTATTGACATGTCCTTCAGATTTATTTGCCAATGCTCAAGATGTAATTTTTACAGAATTGAAACAAGATAATTTTCCAAGATTTGTCAGATCGAAAGAATTTAAAAAATTTATCATGAAGGAATTTAAAAAGAATGAAACAATTTTTGAAATGTTGGGAGATAAGAAAGATGATGATGGTGAGTTGAGTTTTTTTTGTAAATTTGGAAAATTAATAATGGAAAATATGTTTTGGAATAATGGAAATAATTGGAAAATTGGAAAATTGAAATTATTGTAAAATTTATTGTAAATTTTTTTGTAAAATTTGACAGTAGTGTCAATTGATCCACATTCAATGTATTTGAAAGAACATAATGAAACAACTGCTGATTGTCCACTCATTGATACCACTTCATTCTATGTAACTCCAAAAGATTATGAA